AGAAAGAGTTATTCTAGATAGCAGTAGTAGAAAAATTACTCAAGAAATTGAGGAAAAGGACATACATAAAAGGGCACAAATCATTAAAGGCACCAGAAGTAAATTTTGAAATGTACTTTGGAAAATCTGTGGGGTGTGAAATAAACCTAGTCACTCAGTAGCTCTTAATAGGATGTATTTACTGACAAGGCAAAAAAGGAATGTATTGAAGACAGATGTATTTACTGACAAGGCAAAACAGAATGTATTGAAAACAATTGGAAGAGAGTTAATTTCATAAGCAAATGTCAGAGATTATTTTCATGTATCAGTTTAACTACATAGGTATTGTGATAATTGTGAAATTGTGCCTTGTTTAGTAAGACTTCTTGAATAATTTCATTCATTGAAATTCTAAGGGACAATTATCTATACGTGAACTCATAATTAGGAATGATTGAAGAATTGAAATATTTAAATTGGTTAGAAAAGAATGAACATAAAAGTAATAACACTTAAATATAGTTTATTTTTAGCAGATCTATTGTTGGAAAAAAACTTAGTTTTGAAAATGGAAAGTTATAAAGTGAAGAAAGAATTAAATACTAACTGTAATGAAGAATTAAAGGCAGTATAATATAATGTGAATGCACAGTGGAACATCATAACATCTTAACTTCAAGAAACTGTTGTAAAACAGCCCTGTAAAAGAAATGCAAGATGGAGGAAACATGAGAAAATCATTTCCAATGAATTCACACATAATTGCAATGGTCAGAAAAAAAAAACACATAAAATAATTAACTAATTGAGATAAGTGTTTTCAGTTATTCTAACCATCTAAATAATCCACATATTTCAGTTATGATTTCTTCTTAATTAATTCAGTGTTCAGCTTAACCAAAAAGTGTCACAATTCACAAAAATATTCAAGTAATTGAAATTAGTGTTTTTGATTATCCTAATAATCCATGTCTTAAGTGAGAATAATCAGTAAGTTGAATACAATCGATTAATAAGTCCAATAATTGATTATCAACTTCCATTAATTGCCCAGCTTTGTCTAATATAAATAAACCAGAATTGTAAATGATGGCTCCATAAACTGTATGTATACTGTAATTTCTAGAAAGCTTTTGACAAAGTTTCCCCATAAATGTCTGATGGCTAATATTGAAAGTTTTGTTATCAAGAAGATATTTGGAAATGGTTTGACTCCTTTCTGTCCTGAAGAACACAAAAGAAGTAGTTAATGGTAAATTATTGGAAAACACCCTGGATATATAGATGACACAATTAGAGATAGTTGACTGGCTTTTAGAATTTGAACCAGAAAAGTGTGTTTTGGTGTCAGTGAATAATTAAGTAAAACAGCTTACAAGACTAATAATGCAGAACTAAAGCAAGTAAACAACATGAAAGATACAAGAGTAATTTTTAACAACAACCTGAAATTTGAGAATTACATGAGTGAAAAGATAAGAAAAACAAACATCTTTATGTGGATATGTTCTTGAAATCGTACAAAGGATTAGTTCATCCACATATTGAGTATGCACATACAATATTGTACCCACAGAAAATTGAAGACATTATTGAAAATGTAAAGTGCCAGGCAACAAAATTTTTTACTATCAGGCATATAGACTGGGAAATTCTAGAGTCAAACCATGAAGGAGAAAGGTTTTTGGAAACTGTTCAAGATGTTTTTATTTACCATTTAGTCCATAAACCAACTAGAAACAATGCTATTTTTGACTTAATTGTTAACTTCAAATACAGAAATGGTCAAAAGGGAGGAAAATGGGGAACATCTGGGTGCAAGTGATCATTGCTCTATTTGGTGTTTTGCTGCATATGGAGATAAGGAATAATGATATTTTGGTTGCAAATTTCAAATAAGCAAATTTTGAAGGGATACGACAAAAATTATCTGTTGTGAATTGGGCAGCTGAGTTATTTGGAGACACTTGATCAGATGTGGAAAATTTTTAAATATTCAATATAAACATATTCCTTATAGAAAGAGACTTGGAAGATTATAGAAGATCAAGAGAGTTGGTGAAACAGGAAATTAGGACATCAAAAAGGAT